GGAATTGAGACACCTTTTTAAAAGTTTGACTATTTTTAACTTGACAGTGTCTTAGAAACACACCAGCCGTGGTGGGACGCTCAGAAAATGGCATGCAGCAGCTTAAGACGTCTGTCAACATACAGATCCTATATATGTGATATATCCCAAAAATAAGCTAAACTAAATATTTAAAAATATGAAAAAAAGAATGTAAATACTAATTTTTGCAATATATAGATTATATATAAATATACTGTAATATTTTATTCCTTTACTTTATTGAGTGTCCAAATTAGCCATATAATTGCTGATAGATAGATAGATATATAGATAGATCGATAGATAGATAGATATAGATTTCTAAAACGACATATAAATACATATACAAATATATAAAAATGATCCAAATTAAACAATTTAAAGAACTGAAAAAAATTAAGATTTTTTTTTAAACAAATTAAATATGGATGGAAGCTATCCTGAAGCAGTTTATTTGTTTAGATGAGGTAAATCTAGGTAGACTAGACTAGGTTGCACTATCATGTGCAACAGGATTCATTTGCATTACTTCTAAATTTGGTGGTCTGTGACAGTTCACTTTTCGCCAGAGGCTCTGCTCTTTGCATTTGTAATTTTTGCATTCACGTGTGGATGCTATGGGTCTCTTGGAGGTATTTGAGGGCTAGACTCCAGCCGAGCTCCCCTCTGATCTAGCCAGGTCAAAGACTAAGCTTGAGTTGAGCCAGCGAGAGAGGGGCAGCGGTGTCACAGAATGCCTGAGTACATGTCACTTTGCGTCAGCATTAGTTACTGCAGGAGGCCCCCTTTCCTTTTGTCCTCCAGCCGACTGGAGTTCACAGGACCGGTGTGCGTATCTCCCATTCCACATCTCTGTCCTGTATCCCATTATGCCCCTTCTGCATGGCAACAAGCTTCAAATGAGGTGAGATTTTGACAGTCGGGTATGATTTAGTGATGGAAGATCAAAATAACTGAGTATGGCTTCAGTTGATTGCATTTGGAAATACTATATTTTGGCATCAAAAAGCAGTACAGGGAAATTAATTTCACAGTTATGTCATATTAGGAATACTTTCCACCTCACATTCCAGTCACATGAAATAACTGGGCTTGATTATATTAACTCTTTTTTTCCAATAAAAATAGACCCCTTGTTTAGTGTCACACATCACATGGTTGAAGTCCACATGAACACCAATCGAAACCTTTGTTTTGTGACACAGTTTCAGGCAGTTGGAGTGAATGAATACTAAATTAATCGGGACACGGCCTGATGGCAGAACAAAAGCATTCCTGATAGCAACAGTACAAAGGCGGATCACTTTTGAGGGGGACAATTTCACAATTTTTTTAATACAAATATTTGATCAAATATATAGGCCTATTAAAAAATTAAGTTCTGTTAAAACATTTAAAACAGTTCAAGTCAAAACATTATATAAAAATACTCGCATTTATAAAATAAAATAAAACAATAATCAAATAAAAAATAACATTTTAAAATAAAAAGTACTATGTATGGACTGGCCACCTTTCCATGATGTTTCTCTGCCTTCGGTCTGAGATGCTTCAGCATCACTTCAACCTTATAAAGGAAAATAAAATAAAATAATAAATAAATAATGAAAAATAAAATAAAAAACAAAACAAAATAAAATAAATCTAAAGTGTGTACAAAATGTGTACAAATTTAAAGTCCCTGAGACCCCAAACATCAGTAATTCAATATACTTTTTAACATGTATTTTTTATTTTGTTTATAATAAGTATGCATAGGAAAAGCCTTGATGTATCAACTTGATCTGTGAGTGCTTTTCAAGCTATTAAAATGGCCCTGGGGTCTCAGAGACCCCCGCACAGAACATGAGGGTTAAAATGCAGCCTCAATTAACCACCATCACTGAACGTCACCCAACACAGGTGAGTGATTATTCAGAGGGCAGTTGTACGAAGCAAGACCATCAGTTATTTTCCACAGGGGTGAGCACAGGTTACCGCTGGAGAAGCCTTTGCTATTTATAGCAGCTGTCAACAGCAGGCAGAGACTGTGCGGCATACTAATTGGTTGCATTTGCAGGTAAGTCAGAGCTGGGCATCTCCTCCCGTCCCATTTGTGGGCAGGAGCACTGACCGTCCCCCGATAAGATCTACTAGAGGCTTATTTTTAACCCTCGTGGCTCTCAGATGCCATTTCAACAACTGCTTTCCACAGAAACTGATAATGAGAGATATGAAATGCATTTGCATACATGCACACATTATTTAGACTATGCTTATCTCCTCCGTCAGCGATAAAAGGCCCTAATTTAGCTCACCAAATCAGCTGATCGGAGGATCCCATATTCGCCGTGAGGCTCCAGCCGAAATCTGTAAATCGTGTCGCACTTGCACTCCGCTCCAGAATTAGCCGCTCACTGCTTTCAGCACAGATGGCGTCATCCCCGCTCACTGCAAATGCCTCACATTCTAGTACAAGCACACTGACCTCTTCCTTAATCCTAATTAGGACTGTAATTTCTGCCAGAGCCTTCTTCAAGAGCGGTGGCAGTACAAGCGTGCGCTTTGAAACATAAAGAAAAAGCTTGTCTTCTCTAACTTGTGACATTAAACAATATGAGATGGTGACGTGTCTGGATTTCTGATGACGTCTTTACGATGATGGATTAGAGCAATACATACAAGCATCATTGCAGCCATACTCCAGCCTGCGTGTTTCTCTAAATAATGGGCTGTGACAAATACATAGGCGAATTGGGCTAAATCCCTGAGCAGGCTTAATAAAATCGAGAGTGAGCTGAAGTCTAAAGGACATTAACTCGTATATTCTCTCAGCTGTCCTAAAAGGGCCCAGTGCTGGAAACAACATCTATTGTTGAGCATGTGAATTGTGTAGCAAAGCAGCGAGGTGCAGATTGGCTGACAGCTGAATAATGCCACCCCACAGTCGCTGGAGACTTGTTGATTTAGATTTCTGATGACGTCTTTACGATGATGGATTAGAGCAATACATACAAGCATCATTGCAGCCATACTCCAGCCTGCGTGTTTCTCTAAATAATGGGCTGTGACAAATACATAGGCGAATTGGGCTAAATCCCTGAGCAGGCTTAATAAAATCGAGAGTGAGCTAAAATCTAATGGACATTAACTCGTATATTCTCTCAGCTGTTCGAGCCCTAAAAGTTCCCAGTGCTGGAAACAGCATCTATTGTTGAGCATGTGAATTGTGTAGCAGTGAGGTACGGATTGGCTGACAGCTGAATAATGCCACCCCACAGTCGCTGGAGACTTGTCGATTTAGCAGGGATATGCACATAATCCTCCTCACTTCCTGTTCAAAAGAAATTCCCCAGAATGCAATGGGGTAGGTGAAAACAGCACCCTGGGGATGACTCTTTGTATTGTTACGTGTCACAAATGTGAAAAAATGTAAAAGTTATTTGAGTACATCTTGGTAATTTTGAAAAGGTTATTTTAAGAAATTATAAAAAACATATTTGATAAAATATAACAGAAAATAATTTTAACCCCTTAAGTTCTGTTGAGAATTTTAGATTTTTAAAACAATGTTGTACATGTAAATATATTAATAAAATAAAATTATATTAAAAAAAACCTACAATGGACTGGCCATCTTCTATGGTGCTTCCCTGTCTATGGTCCAAAATGCTGGGATAGGATTTTTTATTTTTGGAAATGTAGCATGCTAATCATGTAATTATAACTTTTACTCACAATAATCTAACTAAAAAGTTATATAACATATTAAAACATATATACCCAAATAATAAATAAAACAAAAAACCAAATAAAATAAAAACAATGGAGTAAACAAGACAATATCTCAGTCTCCATAGAATCACGCTCTCACTGAGCAGTGGCTAAACCAGCAGCAGGAAGCCTATAAACTGCATAATAGACCCGGTAGCAGCATTCACTCCTCTCTTCAAGATACAATCAGTGCTAAAACACCAAGCCAAGCAAAAACCCCTGAACTCTCATTGTCTATTGTACAGCGCTGGCCCCCCATAGCATCTCTTGTTAATTGCCTTTGTTTGCACTCTTGTACAAAAGCCATGTTGTGTAGTGCTACTTGCTGCTCGGAACAGTTGGAGCTGAAGTTGTTGCTGCTGTTATAAAAATCTTTACCTCTGCCACATGCATCTGTTATAAAATAGATTGCATTTAAAAATGAAATCAATATGACTATTGGCTGAGGCATAATGTTAGTTTGTATCAGTAATTGTGGATTGCTTTCTTGTCATCACATATTTACTATATAAGGAATTCTAGAAAACAACAAGTAAAATGTGCTCAGTCATCTTAATGTCTTAATGTATAAATTGCATTTAGTCTTTTTTTTTTTTAAATCTTGAACCCAATGTTTTTTTTTTTTTTTACATTTTACAAATGTTTCTCTTTAAATCAAATGAATTTTCATACTTAGATTTGAATAGAATTTGAAAAACAGCTTATATGCTGCTATACAAGTAGTAGAGTCTGCAAAAAGGTATGTTCCTTCATGACCACTTCTCTCTTTTCATTTGCAAATGTGCAAATACAAGCCACATTCACTTCTGGCTCTATAGCAACACCATAAAATATGCCTTCTCTCTCCAGCACCTTCGCTTTGCTTCAGTACCAATGATGAACTAGCACAGAGAGTTTTAAATCATGACCACAAACCCAATCAATCCATGAACACAGTCCTGCAAATACTGTATATAGCTGCTTATGCAAGCCTTTCATTTGGAAAACAACCAAACACACAGACGTTGAGGTTTTCAGCAACACTAAAATGCAGCAGAAAACCTATTTATCTGAGGATATCAATTAACATGAATAATACTGTGAAAGTCTTCTGGGCTTCTGAATCTCCAAAGGGTCTCTAATGTAAACGAGAGAGGGTCTACTCTCAGTATGATTTATACTGTGTTTAAACCGACTCGCCTGTTTGAGGAAGTCTTTTGGATCTGTTTTCAGGAACTGTACTTTGATGCCAGATTAATGCGCATCCTCATGCCAGATCCTCAGAGGTAATGCAGAACAGCCAGGCACGAGGGTCACTGATAATGTGTGTCGTCTGAGACAACAGACAACAGGTGAGCCAGTGTTTGGACAGACACTAAAGGTGAGAGGTGAACCAGGGAAAGCTACTTTCAGGGCTGGATCGACTTTCTACAACTGTTGCAACTTCCTTTGTTTGCTGATTATAAGGGATTATTCAGCCAAAAATGAAAATTTTGTCATCATAACCTATATGGCTATATATACCCACACTACCACTCAATTTTTTCTCTTACGCTCACTGAAGCTGCACTTATTTGATCAAAATTATAGAGAAAACAGTGATATTGTAAAATATTATTACAATTTGAAATAACTGTTTAATATGTTAATATATTTTACATTTTAATATATTCCTGTGAGGCAAAGCTGAATTTTCTTCAGTCTTAAGTGTCACATGATCCTTCAGAAATCTTTATAATATGCTGATTTGAAGCTCAAGAAACATTTTTTACTATAGTCAATGTTGAAAATGGAAGTGGAGGATATTTTTTTTTGTGGAAACATTTTATTCAGTGTTCTTGGATGAATAGAAAGTTAAAAAGAAGAGCATTTATTTGAAATAGAAATCTTTTATAACATTATAAATGTTTACTGTCACTTTTTATCAATTCAATTCATCCTCGCTGAATAAAGGTATTAATTTAAAAAGTTTACTGATCCCAGACTTTTGAACAGTATAATTTAAATATATTCATATAATATATAAGACTAAATAATAAAAAGGCCAAGATGTCAAGAATTTAAAGTGAATAAACTTCAGTCAATTTCACACATAAACCATTGGATTCAGAAGACAAGACTTACAGTATAACATATGTCATATGAATCACTTTTATGATACTTTTATTGTATTTTTATGGCCTTTTGAAGCATTAATTCTCAAGGCCCCATTCATTGTAATTGCATCAAAAAGAGTTTTGTGTTTCACATAAGAAAAATATTTAACACTTTAGTAAGGGACCAATGCTAACTAGTTGCTTATTAGCATGCCTATTATTAACACATTGGTTGTTTATTAGTACTTATAAAGCACATATTCTGCATGAAGTCAAGTCAAGTCAAGTCAAGTCACCTTTATTTATATAGCGCTTTTAACAATACAGATTGTGTCAAAGCAACTGAACAGCATTAATTAGGAAAATAGTGTCAATAATGCAAAATGACAATAGTAAACACACATTTTTCAGTTAAAGACAGTTCATCATTGAATTCAGTGATGTCAACATCCAGCTCAGTTTAAATAGTATCTTTGCAATCAAGTCAACGGTATCGCTGGAAATGAAGTGTCCCCAACTAAGCAAGCCAGAGGCGACAGCGGCAAGGAACCAAAACTCCATCGGTGACAGAATGGAGAAAAAACCTTGGGAGAAACCAGGCTCAGTCGGGGGGCCAGTTCTCTTCTGACCAGACGAACCAGCAGTACGGAAAAATCAATTTAAGACGTAATAAAACAGACGATGAACACTATTAACAGCAATTATTATATGATGCAATCAAACTTATAGCAAAATGTGGTAGTTCTGTATGTTGTTTCAGGGTTGGCATCATCTGAGGTCCTCTGAGGGGTTGGCATCATCTCTTCTCAGGTGTTCTGGATCCAGACTGAAGCTTGTGTAAATCCTAGTTACCACGGGATGTCAATCTTCTGCATTACCATATTCTACATCCCTATATACCCAATATCTAAAGTTAACAACTACCTTACTAACGAATAATAATCAGCAAATTAGGAGTTTATTGAGGCAAAAGTCATAGTTAATGGTTTGTTAATAGCGAGAACTGGACCTTAAATGATGTGTGACCAAATATTCTTATGTAATCAGAATATTCACATAAATTCCATTATAAAACAGAAAGAATTTTCCAGCTTGTACTGAGAAGCTTTATGCATAAACATCTTCAGTTTCATGTGCAAGACTGATCAGTCCTCAGAGACTGAGTGTCAACACTACCACAAATTAAAACAGTGAGAGTTTTGCATAAATCTGTAATATATACCCGTGCTTCACCTAAAAAAAAAAAGGCTGAGGAATTTAAAGAGAGCGAGTTAGGCTGAAACAACAGATGTTCGCAAAGGCATGCTTCAGACTCAAATAGTTTGCATACGCCGTCTAAGTGGCCAGAGAGGGAATGCTGCAGTAGAACAGGTGGGGTGAGAGTGGGAGGTTCACGGCTCAGGACGCACACCATCTGAGCACCACGCAAGCAGTGACCTCCCCAAAGGAACCACTTCATCACCTGCTCAGGAAGATCCTCTCTTGTTTGGGAAATGCTTTGCTCCTGCTCACTCGGCGAAAATGTGGAGCATTTGATGCCCATCCGTTTGCACGGACATCCAAAACAAATGTGGACATTCCGGTGGACCGTGGGAGGATGTAAAAGACTGACATCTTGATGCAACCACAGGAAAGCACATGATATCATGTG